TCCTGAGGCTTTGTGGGGGGACATACATCTAGACACAAGCCATAACCGTCAGCTGTTGGTGCTGCTCAGGTAGAGATGAAGGCAGGATGGCTTTTCCCTTTCTACTACCTTTGAATCTGCCTCTTTTAGGCAGAAATCAGATTCACCCACTGACCAAGAATTCACCGATGTAGTTTTCACGTGTATACCCACAATAGAAAGAAGAGTGTAGCAGGACACAGTAAAGGGAGGCAATGCTGTAAATTCCAATGCTCACGTAGCTGAGACAGTGAAAGTCTGGGGAACAGCCACTGCTACCCAGGGTTTTCCCTCACTTCTTCAGCTTCAGACTTAGGAATTTCATTGTTAAAATACTTATATGTGGTAATTAAATTGTGACCTCCCACTACCACCAGAATTTCTAACTGTAGGTCCTAGCCCCCAGTGTAACTGCGTTTGGAAATAGAATGTTTAAATAAATAATTACAGTAAAAGTAGTTTGGGGGTGGGGGCTGTAATCTCATGCAACTGGTGTCCTTATAAAAAAAAGGAGGCGGGGCTGGAGATGCGCATACTGGAGAAAGCACATGGGAGGACACAGGCTGTCCTCTGCCAGCCCAGGAGAGCGGCCGCAGGAGAAACAGAGGCTGCCGGCCTCTCTGGTTTACTCCACCCAGTCTGTGTTACTCTGTTAGGGAAGCCCAAGGTGACTACTTCACTGACCCGGATGTGTAAACAATGAGCATTAAACAGCCCTATACACCAGCTAGCAACTTTGCATTCAAACGTGACTTTCTGAACGCACGCCTACGTATGTTTGCTGGTCAGCACATTCTTCTACAAGGAAAGCAGCTAGGAGTGAAATGGAATGAATGGGAAGGCTGCTGGCTAACAGTAGTTTCTGGGCAAGGTGAACTGGTTGCGTGGTGTCAAGACTCGCGTGAGCCTTTGAGATCTGACCGACCCGCTCCTGCTCCAGACCTGTGGTCTGTGCTGGGTGCACATCTCCACTATCTGATCCAAAACATGCCAGAGATGGTGTGTGCGAAGAAGCATGCCTGACTTCTCCTTCCTAGACCCTACCCACTTCATATTGCTCCCTCCCAGCTGCCGTTTGTTTCGTTTATGTAGCCTTCTTTTTGGATCCGTTTGTTTTTCGATTTGCCTCACAAGTATTTGCATCATTAGGGTGGGAGTAGGCTTCACAGAGGCTGGTGGCTGGCTGGGATGTGCCGCGGGAGCTGCGCAGTCGCCCCCATTGGTCCAAACCTTTATACTCAGTACTGTGCAGCATCGCTCACGTAACTTGATCATTATTTCTGCCTATATTTTTGACACTATACAGTAGGAAGGGAAGTTGACCACATAAGGCTATTGAGTCAGCTTTTCACATAGGATGGCTAGACTATTTAAGACCTTTTACTTGCCTTGTTTGTTTTTTTTATTTTACTGGTTTTTTTATTTTTTACTTTTTGTATTTTAGGGAAGGGTCTACAGGGTGTTCAGGGTCTCACTACTAGATGGGACTCATAGTGAGCCGCCTGTTTACAGCCTCCCAAGTGCTTGGATTACAGGCGCACGCCCTCAGCACACCCAAGGGGGCGGGGCTGGCACGGCAGGCCCAGGGATCAAACCCCCAGCCCCTGCACCTGCTTGCAGGTGCTTTAATCCACTGAGCTCTTTGGCCGACCCTTGCTGTATGTTTTTTTAATTTCTTTTTAAGGGAGGTTTTTTTTTTTTTTTTTTGCCAAGGACCAAACCCAGGGCTTCCAGCTTGCTAGGCAAGCATTCTGCTGCTGAGCCAGAACCCTAACCCCCTATTTAAGACCTTTTAAAGGATCACCTTTTTCCAACATGATGGCCTCATCAGCCTATAATGGGCCATAAAATCTAAAAACTAGAGTTTAATCAGATTTACCAGAGCGGAGAACAACATGTCTAATATTTAAATTTTACCCACTCTGCTAGTCAGTAGCAAAATTCCTTAATGCATCATCTCATTTATTATCACAATAGCTCTACTACGAGAAAGGTACTATAATGAGTGACATTTTGTTGATGAATTAACTCAGGATTAAGTAGATTAAGTAATTTTTCAGTATCACCAGCAGGTAGGGAATAAAGCATCAAACCCTAAGATTAGCCTTTGTGTTTAGACTCAAAGCCCCTAGCTGTCACCTACGATGTAGCACCTTGTTCACACATGCTCTTTCTAGTTTTATTTTTTTCAATTCTAAGAAATTGGTTGTCTCTTCTGTGGCACACAAAGCCTTTACCTGGCTCCTTCTCTGTCCCTTTTCGTGGAATGATATTTGCCTTTCTTGTTACATCTCTCCTTCTACCCTAACCATTCTATTCTGAAAGCTTTCATGTCCATACGCTTGACCCATTATTGTGCCACCTGCTGGGTGATACTTCCTTCATGTAGATGCCTATCGCAATTTTTCTGTTTGCTATTTATTGTTTATATACTATTCCTATAATGTAAATTTCATGAAGATATAGACCTAATCTTTCTTATAAGCTTTTTAAAATTTTATTTTATACTTTATTAGTCCATTTTACAGTTTACACAGTTTACAGTCATCTTGGGGAGTGGTTATATGTATATAACACAGCTTGTTTCTTTTTTATTTTTAATTCCATTTCCTCCCCCTCCCTCTCTCCTCTTCTAATTCCTTGATCTCATTTATCATTGTTGGTATAATTAATCTTGGCTCATGTTATGGCATATAATGTTTGCATTAGCTGAAGGTATTAGGTTCCTCTACATGGTGTATCTTTTCTAAGCCTTCTTATAAGCTTTCTTATGGTTATGTTACCAACATCTAGAGATTAGGTCCTCTATACAGGCATTCAATACGAGTATGCTGAGTTCCAAAAGGTGATCCATTATGACCCATCAAGTCATGGTGTAAATATAGTGCCTTGAATGGTTTATTTATTTATTTATTTATTTATTTATTTATTTTGTGGTACTGGGGATTGAACTCAGGGCCTTGTGCTTGCCAGGCAAGTGCTTATTCTACTGAGCTATCTCCCTGGCCCCATTGAATGGTCTCCTTAGATAAATTCATTATTACAAAAGATATTTGACCTAGTAGTAAGTACAGTCACCAAGACAAAATTTGGGTTGCCAAGTGAGCAGCTGAAACTGGGAATGCAAAAGCAGGCTCCTGAGTCAAATTTCAGTTGACTAATACCTTCACCTACAGTCACTTCACAGAATTAAGTTATATTCTGAAAAAATAATTTCTGGATGTGTGTGTGTGTGTGTGTGTGTGTGTGTGTGTGTGTTTAACTACTACATTCTGCCAACAAATGTGCAGTAAGAACTTTTTCTATTTAAATAACTACCTAAAACTCTAAGGTGATTAAGAAGGCAAGACTAATGACTCCAGTGAAAATTGGGAGAGAATAGGAACCACTGCTGAATGGCGTTCTCCAGCAAGGTCTTGTGAAGGAAACAGGGCCTGAGCCAGGTACAGCACATGGAGGATTAGGCCAGATGGAGGTGAGAATTACAATCGAAAGCACGCTCTCAGGAATGTGCCTCGTGTGCCTGGGAACTGTAAAAGACTAGTTGGCAGGAAATAGGCCTTGAAAACGATGTTGATTCTTTTGGATTTTCTCCTTAATTCTGAGTGGGCTCCTAGGAATTTCTGTGCAGACCAGTGATCTATTAAGATTAGTGTTCCCAAAAGGGAGATCTACAGTGACAAAGGTGGAAGAGGGAGCCAAGGCTGGAAAATGAGCCGTCAGCTTCTGCGGCTGACTGTCCTTGGGACAAACCCTGTCTCATGCACCGTTCTCCCAGTCTTTCTGATGGAGGACACCAGAGGAAGAGGCTGTGTGCTGTGGCTGTGAGGTCAACGCTGCTCAACTCATGTTGGACTTGGAGTAATGGACAGTGGTAGAATCGATTTCTCTTTGGTTTCATAAAATACTGGCTAATAGAGCATTTTACTGAGTTCAGCTCTTCCCTGTCAGCAGTACCATGGCTGTGTTCATTTATGAGGATCATAACCAGGTTCTACATCTCCAGGTGACTTCTTAATCCTCAAGGATCTACTGAATTATATTGACTAATAATTAAGATTTACTATTTGGAAGTTTAATATGTAGGTAATTATAATTTAAGCTGTAACTTATTGCCTCTAAGTCATGTAACATACACCACTTGGCTGCCATAGCTCTGTTTTTTGCAACTGAGGAAAATGAATTTCTGAGAGACTAAATGACTCGCCCCACATTACCAGGCTAAAGAGAAAGAAAACATGGGCATAGCCCAATTTCTTTCATTTCAAGCCTTAAAACTAAAAGCTAGCATTCATGCATGCAATAGATCTTTGACAGGCAAGACGCTTGCTTTTTCTAGAATGAGCAATCTCAGCAGAGTGCAGAAATGAACTATATGTTCAAATGCAGTGAGTGCTCCCTGAATACTCATTGGCAATACTGACATCATCTGCCATTCCTTCTGAATCAATTGTCCCAAAAGGAATGTATCTTATAATGTTCCTCAAATATTTTTAAATGACAGATTTTAAAATTAAATATTGACAATGGTGCTCATGTTTCAGTTTCCCCTTGTTGGGCTTTGGGCTTAATAATTCTTGGTTATGGAGCCTGGTTTTGTCAATTTGATCTCGTGGAATTTGCAGACGGCATCTGTGTGCACAGTAACAGAACGCTTCTGGCTGATAGAGGACGGCTGCGCAGCAAGCGTGGCACGGCCTGGACTGTTTGCTTTTTTCCACAGTCTGCTGATTCAACCTGCAAACCCATTCCCCAACACCATTAGTAAAACCTAGGAAAACACAGGGGCCTCCAAAAAGACAACTCTGACACTCGCAACCCAGGGAGGCCTTTTCAGTTGAGAGATCCTAGTTGTTTACTTATCACCGAGGCTTGGGTATTTTTGGTTTTTTCTCCTTCACTTGTTTCTGGTTATAAAGTTGAAAACTAAGAGTCTAAACACAGTGCACTTGGATAGTAAAACCCATGTTCACTTTTTGCAGTGACCCTGAAAAGAGACGAGGGATTCTTATAAATCACAAAGGAAAATAAATAGCTTCACTCATGGAGGGGAAGAGACAGCTGGAGAAAAGAGACTTCGGGAAAAGGCTGTCTCTGGACAGCAGTCTTGTGGTAAGTACTAAATATTCATTTACTACTCTATATGTTTTGGCTTAAAGCACATATTCTTTGACCATTATTTCCTGAGCCCCATGCTTTTGAAACTTCTATTGCAGTTCCCTTATTAGCACTATTCCCTGGGATTTTGCTTCATTTATTTTTTGCAAATTCAAAACTACCAAATTATTGGAATGTTTGCATAGTGTCTTAATACACGAATGTCATAATCTGTCACCATTATACATAATGATATTAATTTCAGCTGAAATAGACGTTAGCCTGCATAAGAACTCTACTGTACTGCCAGCTCCAGATGCCAAGTCTATACATAGTTACTCCCTCACCCATTTATCTTAACTGTGGGGTTAAGTTGAATAAGAATTCAATGCAGCTTCAGAGATTGGAGAACCAAGAAAGTGTTCAAGAGTTTCTTAAGTATGTAAATTAGTTCAGTCATCTATACAATTTCTTTCTAAGAGTTTTGATGCTGATGGGTATTGTTCTGAACAGCCTGGTTGGATTTGATTTTATGTATGAGAATCTGGTTAGTTTAAAAGCAGACTAAGGTGCTGATTCCAAAAGCTTGGCCATGTTTTCACAGGCTGTGGGATAATGTGTGGATTGACTCTTTTGTCCCATGATGAATGAGAACAGAGAAAGAAAACTAGTCAAGAGAGCCACTCCTTTCTCTCTTTGCTCATATATTAAAATACAAATTTAGGGCTGGGGAGATAGCCCAGCCATCTAAGCACCGACCGACCTGGAAAGTGCAAGTATCTGGGTTCGATCCCCAGTACCACATGCTGTGTTGGACCTGAAACCTCAGACAAAAGGTTCCAGCCACTGAAACTGAGTGTGAAAATTACCATACACCTGTAATCCCAGTGCTGGGGAGGCTGAGATAGGAGGATCACTAGGAGTCTGAGCTGCATGTAAGGCCTTATACCAAATAAATAAAGATTTAAAAAGAAATGAAATAAAATACCAATTCAGCGTGGGCTTGTCTGCATGTTTCACAGGGATAAGCTCTATTCGTTCATGTACTTCCAGTACCTGAGCTGGGCTGAATTATAGAAAGATGTCCAGTAAAATATTCATTGAGTTGATTTGATCAGTTGAACCATTTAATTCACCAGCTGTATGTCTTCTTGTGTCACATTCACATCCAGTTATTTGCCACATAATGGTTGATGATTTCCTTTTCAAATGATTTATAGACTTGAGTTTCTAGGTTCAGACAATGATTATTTTAAGCTTCTTATGTGGAGACTTTTTCTTATTATTCAGCATCAACTTCTGTGCCTTTGTGGGCTCTGCACTGACCAGCACACCTAGAGGCTGAGGGATCTGGTAGTTGGTTAAATTCTCTTCCCTGTGGGTGTGCCTTTCTTACCTCCTTGATCTTCTGCCTCAAGGTGGATTGTGCTGCAAATGGGTTATATACGTCTATTATTTTTGCACTTCTGAGAAAACTTGTAATAATTTTATATTTTCTCAGCTTCTGCTGTGTAAAAGAAAATCTTTTCTTATATATCCACATGCCAGCATGGGCTGTCTTGGGCTCAGCCATGGACTGAGACAACCATATGGCATGATGCGAGCGGTTCAGCAAAGAATCTCTTTAACCCAGAAACATCATCTTCATTCATTGGTCCCCAAAGCTACAGACCTTTCTCATAAGTTTCAACTAATATGCAAATATCCTACAAAGGCCAACATACTAAGCTATTGTTTTTCAATTACTCAAATTAGCACTCATTAGTAAAATGCCTTGGATCATTCCCAAATGTCAACCAGATGAACAGAATTTTGTTGAGGGAATTAATAGAGAAAAGAATGCGGAGTACAGATTCCTGGGTAAGGCCAGGGTGGATGAGGATGAGTCAGGGAGGGTTGGTGGGTTACCTGTACTTACTTTATACCTGCTGACCAGGAAAATAGGAAAAAGTCCCCATCAAACCTTTGCCCAATTTCGATTTTATCTAAAGACAGCTTGAATATAGGCTCGAGTAAAGTTCTGCTACATTACCAGTGCTACCTGAAAACTCAATACCAACCTTGCTTTCCTACTGGCATAAATAGCTTCATTGTCCTCTAAAAGCTGAGTAACTGCTACATTTATATGTGCAGCTTGGGAAGATCCTGAAAAATAAAGCCACTCTTATGACTACGTGCATTGGGTGCTTAAATATGTTGGGCATGGGACTTTCGTCAGGTGCCTGCAGTTTTAGTGCTATGTTCTCTGCTTTGCATAAGACGCTACTGGGATAAAGCCAACAACAAGATTCTTTCCCTGTTGGTTATTTGGGAGTAGGTGCCACTGTAACTCTATCAGATTGACTCTTCTGTGACTTTCAGGAAGAGAACTAGACTTGGGTGAGATCAAAGACACTGGCCCATAAAAACACAAGTCACACTGAACCAAGAAAGAAGCAGTTGGGTTGATTCTAGATAAGGACTGCTGGAAAATATAAAAAGAATTGTTATCACAGTACACTTTTCATTTACAAGGCATGTTTTATTACCTTTATTTTTTGCATCAGAGGATGCAAAATGGGAATGCGTTTGCAGCCCTTTACTACATAGAAAGAATTGTTAAGGCCGAGAGAGGTTAACTGCTTTTGCTAATGTCATACGACTAAGATTACACCAAGATCAGAACCCAGGTCTCTACCTGTTACTCAGTTCTTGTCTTTCATTGCATATTACCCCAGGAGGACAAGTTGTCCTTTTAGGAAACTTGAAGAATGAGAAATATAAAATTCTGATGTTTTGAAATTCAACTGAAATAATCATTATCACCCATATTTTTGAGAGATAGGAGGCCCAGAGGTAGTTTCCACTCTCAGATTTTGCTGAAAATTCCTCATAATGTACTCCAAGAATAAGGTACTATTAACAGCATTACATTTTTCATTTTATGTAATCAAATCATAAAGTGTTGAGTTAGGAATTACAGCTCCTTTGCTTTAAATTTTTAAGCTGGTGGAACCACAAAATAAAGAAATTTATAGTCAAGATATAGAAAAAAAGTTCCCACTGAGGGAATTGAGCTTGCAAGCCTTTATTACAATTTTTTTCTTTTAGGACTTGGTAAGGGGGGGAGGGGAGAGACAGACAGACAGACAGTGGGGGGGGGAGAGAGAGAGAGAGAGAGAGAGAGAGAGAGAGAGAGAGAGAAAAAAAGAGAGAGAGAGAGAGAGAGAGAGAGAGAGAGAGAGAGAGAGAGAATATCAGAGAGAAGCTCACATATCACTTGTGTGTATGTTGTAATACTAAAATATGTTCTTTGACATCGATGATTTCTTACTTTTAAATTTTCCTTTTTAAGAAGAAAGTGACAGATGAAACTGAAATGAAAAATGTACTCCTATGTGGGAGGTAAAGCCCAGAGAGAGACAAGTGACAACAAGCTTGCCTCCACCAGCAGGAGAGTGTCAAGCAGTTATATATTCATGGCAAGTACAACGCTCTCTCTCTAATAACAATAATAATCACCCTAGAAATGGAGGCCTCTTTTTGACCCAAAACTGTTCAGCCTTCCCCAGGCTGCTTTTGGTCAGAAAAAAAGTCGACATTTCCCACTGTGCTTTTTATTTGCAAGCCTGGGCTCGGTGTATAGCTGTTGACACTTGTAGCTGTGATTGCATTTGGCTGATCAGAACGCGGGTAAGTGAATTATCTCTTTCAGCCTCTCACATTTTAGCAGTAAACTTTTTCCTTTCATTTAGGGAAAATCATTTTTGTCTGTAGGTACAGATGAGAGCAGCAGATTCTCTGATGAATTCCTTCATGGTAGCCCTTTTTTCTTCCTCCAAAGGGTAACAAAACACTGACTATTACATTCTCAGGTCTGACAGCTATATAGTTTTGATAGACTCAGAGGGGCAAAAATGCACCTACACAAGGCCTTCAACTCATCCTTCAGCATCTTGACTGTTTGCATTGAAATCGTTACAATAACCAGGTCCTTCCCTCACTGCAAAGCAAAGTCAGTATAGGAACATCGTAAAAACCCTCTAGGAAAATGTGTAGGGGAGTTTCCATCTCCACCTCAAGGTTCATTTTCATCCTACTGCATCAGGCTGTGAGTCCATAGAGGACGCATCCTATGAACAGTAATGAAAAGATGCTTTCATTCAATTTGGTACGACCAATGGGAGGAGCCTGCAAGAGGTCAGAGACGGAGGTGTTTGGTTTCCTGCCTCCTCCTGGACCACAGTGATAGACTCGTCTGCCCCAGATGGCAACTTTACTTGGGCAGTCCTCTCCCATAGTCCACCACAACTCCATCTGTTTCAGCCTCCTCACTTTTCATGCCTCCTCATAGGATGAGTCTTCCAATCAGTAGGAGTGACACAGAATTTCACTGAACAAAATGATAAGAATTTAACAGTGGTTGCTGGATTGTATATTGTTGTCTTCAAATTAATCGTTGAGATTATCAGATATAAGCCTGTAACACTGATCAAAAATTATAAGAAAAGTCATAAAAGAGTAGAAAATTTAAGCATCAACTCTTCCCTTCAGTACACCAGCAGAAATCAGCAATACAATTATCCAAGCTATCCTTGAATTCATTGCTGCCCCACTTCCTGTTGGATTTCTGTAGCTCTGCCCATATGTCCATAAACAGTCCTTTCACACAGGTGCCCTCAACTGGTTACTCTCAGTGGCCTGCCTCTTCCCTGCAGGGTTGTCTAGGTAATACTGAAGTCACTTGTGTTTATCTGTGGAAGCTGACCTGCTAAGCAGAAAGATGAAACAACACAATGTGGAGGTAGATGGTATGACAGGGATAGTTAACAGGAGCTGAGATTACTTGAGGAGGAGTAAGAGTACAGGAGTTACGGGACTGTCCAGGCTTTAAAGTAGTAGAGAGAACTTGGTCTCTGACTATGGGAAAGCAGAGCAGAGGTAACGCAAGGGCATTTTTCTGGCTGCTATCCTGACCACTCCTGTCATTACTGATCTTCCCCTAGGAGAATTTCTTCCTATATGGAATTCAAATT